GAGAGAGAGAGAGAGAGAGAGTGTGTGTGTGTGTGTGTGTGTGTGTGTGTGTGTGTGTGTAGAGGAGGTGTTTCTTGCTGCCCAGCAATGGAGCATTCAGGAAAAATGGGCCAGATATAGGGCAACTCAGGGACCAGTATACAGAAATAAAGGAGTGGAACACAATTCAACAACAGGGTCAGAAAAGTAAATACCTGAGCCTCCATCATCTTGAACTCTCATTCTTTGTATGTGCAGGTTTGTAGGAACAAATTCTAACTTTTTATCTGCTTTCAAACTGCTTGCTTTAAATGAAGGACCTAAGGAATGGAACACAAGAAAACAGCCATCAACATGCATCGTGCACAAGCAGGAAAGCGGTAACCTAGAGCTGCTGATTCATGCAAGCAGGTAGATCCCAACAGTGGTCACTCAAGATGGTAAGGACTGGCTTTGAATGCTATCTGGTGAGCAGAGCCAGGGATAAGGATCCTTAGGTTAGTAGTGATGACGCCGTACCTCCTGTGGCTCAGTTTTGTTTACAGACATGACACAGAGATGTAATCTTAGTCAGTGTGATGCCAACACCATTATAAAAACCAATGGACTATGTCAGAGACTACCTGCCAACTATACAGAATGCTGTCATCCAAGTGCCTAGAAACTGGTCTTTCTGGAACAGCACATCTCAACTAAAGTGATGCACAGGTTTACTCCTTACCTTGGATCCATCAAGATGAGCAAGGTTACACTGCATTGAAGCCTGCCTGCCTGCTTCTCCAGTACATTTCAGTAAGTTCCCTAAGACATGCTTGTTGCTAGAGAGGTCAGATGAAATAACCAGTTGCCACAACCTTATTTCTAGAATCAGAATCCAGAATCTATAACTAAAGGAGGAATCACATATCTACCAACCAAAGGGATTACAGATGAAAATGACAATAGAAGAGTGAAGAAATTAACATTCCAACTAGTAAGACACAATGCCATCTGTGGCTCTCCGGCAGACAGCAGCTGTGTATTCTGCCTTTTGTCACAGGGGTCTGGTAGCCATAGTGGCTCTCAGACCTGCAGTATGTCCGTCTTGTGACACTGCAAGAAACACAGCCAAGGGCTGTGTTCAACTAAGATTCTCAGAAGAGCTGGATGCTTTTGACATCTGAGAAGCTCTACCCCAGTAAATTCAAGTTTGTATGGACTTCACACTTTCTCAGGAGCATTCATCCAGCATGGATGGGTGCCTTGACCCTTCAGGCAAATGCCGCCATATGGCTAAGTGATGCACATGGACTTACTGGAGCCTGGACCAGTCCCACACACCACCATCTTGCCTGAGCTCTGATTTTCTCTTAGCTAAGTTTATAGACAAGTTCTTATATTCTGTGTGAAAATCACATTAAGGTGTAAGATTTTTCCTTAAACTGACAAAGCATTATATAGAAAGAAAGAAACCAAAGATAAAGGATACTTTGAAAAAAAGAGGAAAGGGAAGGAAGAAATGCTGCAATTATATAGTAATCTCAAAAATAAAATACAAATGCATCTTTATAAAATAAAGAATACTTTGAAAGACTAAAATAATTAAGAAACAAAATATTCATCCTATTTGGAACAAAAAGGAATTTGGTTAAAAAGATATTATAGTTTGAAAATCAAATATCATTTTCAAGAATAAACAGTGGCAGGGTGCTTTCCTGGCACACAGGGAGCCCCGGACTTGAAGCAAGTGAGAAAAAAAAAATGTTGAGGGGTCTGACTTTACTTTTTCTTTCAAGTCTTAAAATAGAGAGTTGCACTCTGACAACTTACTCATTCAATAAAAATGGCATTGAATATTTAAACTAGAAAACTGCTTTGCTTCAGCAAAAAGCCCATATCCTTTTGGTTCAGTGGTGTAAGACCAAGAAGAACCCACATAACCCAAGATAATCTGAGATTCTCTGCCTTGCTTCAACCTCATTCTACAGTGGCTGCTTTAGAAAATAAGACCATAGAAAGACTTCTTGCAATTCACCAATTTATCATTTTAATTAAGATCTGAAAACCCCAGCGTTGAAATAATTCACACCTACATGAGAATCTATTTTTAAAAACCCACTCAAGATAATCAGTGAGAGTCTGAGAAACCCAGGCCTTCAAATATCTGCAAATGTGGGATATGCGAGCATCTTGGGAGGGCAGGACCACACCCACCTTTGTACTGATGGAGGTCAGTCAGATTTTCCTGGTAGGTGAGGATGATAGTCTGATACTGGGTGACAATTTGCCGCCGGAGGCTCTCCCAGCAAGGGGACAGCTCCCCCAACTCTTCCAGCTCACACACTCTGTAAATAAGACACACACATCAGGCCATAGGGCTGACTCACCTCCCCTGGAACTGTGACAGGAACACACAGAGCATAGGAGAAGCAGCAGTGCTGCTCTGTGGGCCAGGCCAGCCGCTAGACTGACAGTCTAAAGGGCAATCAGGCGCCAGACACAGGACGATGTGAGAGATCACGGAGCACACGGGAAGCCCATGGAGAAACTTGTTAGGAACTCAGGTAAATGCTCAAGGCCATCAGTGGGTGTGGGGAGAGGAAAGCAGCAGCTAAGCCTGGTGACCTTGAAGGTACCTCTCAGGCACTGGCATAGTTTTCTGCAGGATGATGATATTCCAGAACAGAAGGGACAGGGGATGTGAGAAACCACTCACCCCCACCCTCACTCTAACAACTCCCTTTCCCTGTCGAGCACACAGCAGCAGCCACTTCCGGGAGTGGCCCCCATCTCCCTTTCTGAGCGTCCTTGCTGCCCACACCGAGTTGCTGCCAACAATTTAACTGGCTCTAAAGCACCTACCTAATGCACAGTGAAACAGAAAGCAGGCAACAATAATAGAAAAATCACAACATGAGAGTGGGGGAGATGGCTCAGTGGATAAAGCTGCTTGCTGCTGAGTCTGCCGACCTGGGGTAGAGCCCTAAGAGCCACGTGGTGAGAGGAGAGAACTGAGCCCACAAATGTGTCCCCTGACCTCCTCTACATGACCTCCTCCCTGACACCATGGCACATACTCCCCACCCCCAGTGTGGTGAAAATTAAAACATGAAAACTGAAGATGCACCAAGAAGCTGATTATATCTATATAAATATGTATAAATAGCAACTATAAGTTAAAATTATGACACAAATATGTACATAAGCAGAATACAACAGCAAAATACTAGTTTGTACAATTTAGATAATAGGTATATGGCACTCACTGTATTCTTGCTATTTTTCTCAAATTTTTCAGGGTGAAAATGCAAATATCTGTACTGGGATAGTGGGACTCTGTTAACAGGTGTTAATCACTAACACTGATTTAGGAAAAGGTGTGGAGGCCACAGTCTGAGACAGACAGGAAATAGTCTCACCCTTACTTGGAAGTGAAAAATATGCCCCAGGATGAGAGCTTTGCTCTGTGGGAGGAGAGTACCCTGAAGGAGAATCTTCTGAGCCATTATCTCTGTGGCCCCCACAGGACCGAGGAGAGGAAAAAGACACAAAGGGAAGATGTGCTGATGTTAGCCAAGTCCAGCCATCTGTGAGACAGAGGAGCAAACTAAGGCTTTGGAAGGCTAGGGCCACAAAGCCAGCATGAAGTAGAGCCTGGGTCTGCACTGCAGCCTGTCTAAGACATGTGCATATGACATGGGGTGGTGAGTGTTCATCCATGCGACCTCACCTGGCTGCATCTTCTTCCAGCAGTAGCTTCACAAACTGCCGAGGCACGTGCAGGGAGAGGACACTCTCTGCCATCTGCTCCAGGATCCGTAGGTGGTTGCCATCAGTGGTTGGGAACCGGTACATGCGACAGATGGCACCACCAAACACTGAGGTGGAAACACAAGAAGGTAGGCTGTGAGTGAAATGGCGCAGACCTGCCTGTATGGTTTCCCCTACTCAGGCCCTCAATGACCCTCAAGCCCTGTTTTTCCCAAGAAAGCTAACCAGCAAGCAAACAGCTGCAAGAAACAAACTCCACTTAAACCAAGCCCTGCCAAGTTGGCTGTACCTGACACCCTCTCTATGCCAGAAGGTAGATGTAACTCTGATGTGTAAGGAGCCAGGGCGGGAACACTGTCAGTCACTCAAACTAATGTCAAATAAGAGTAAAAGAAGGAGCCCCTTCCTCAAGGGATCACTGACTACATGCTGTGGGAAATGTTGTACTGAAGAACAGCAGCAGACAGGTAGCATTGGGGCATGTCTGTGACAATCACAGTGGGTGGACAGTCACAAGAGAGGCAAGGCATCAACAGGAGAAGCTGCTTACCTGATTTCAGCAAGGTGTCTTTTCGTAAAGAAGCATATTTGGACCGGATTCCCAATGCCTCTGTCAAGCTCTCATCAACTGGCAGAACCATCTGATAAGAGGTACAGAGAAGCACAAGAACACTGAGATGCAGGACTCCAGAGTGCCCACAGAAGTGGGGCCTCGTGCACCACACAAGACCTGGCAGCTGAATGCACAATGCTAATCTACAGTGTGCATGCTGCCCAGCCACACACACTGATGCCCCACCCAGGCCTGTCTTCTAAGTCATTTCACCTTGGGTTCAGTGTTCTGGTAACAAGAATATCCTCAGTGCTAGTGTTCTGAGCATACTTCAGGCAAAATAAGGTATCATTGTACTTTGTAATGCTCCCTTTACAGTGCTAGGCTCTTAAATTGGAATTGTCATTTGGTAACAGTGTCTGGGTGAGAGACTGTGTGGGCCATGAGGAGACAGAGGCTAGGGAGGGAAGGTCCTGAGAGGATGTGGGTGTGAAGGAGGGTGTGTGTGCCTGGGAAAGACAGCTCTTGCCAGAACAGAATGGAAGGCACAGGTGTCCATCACCTCTTCACTCACACCTTTCCACTTGGCCCCAAACAAATCTCTAGCCAAGATATTCTGCTCTCGATCATGTACCTCAGAAGTGGCCGGTGTGGCACAGGGAGCAGAGGTAAGCTCCAGGTCAGCAGGGCTTTGTATGTTAGACCAGGAGCCCGCCCACTCCATGTGGCATCATACCCAAGAAAGACCTGAGAGTCCTTGGAAGGCAGTATCAAACAGCAGGCCCTGCCCTTTACTGAACACAGATATGCATGAAAATATTTAATCCTCCTATAATACCTTCCAAGGGAGATGAGAAAGGTACCCACTCACCCTCCCATTGACTGTGTCCAAAGACCGGGTCACAGGGGGCCGCTGGTCTGACTTCTCCTCCATTTGCCAGCCAATCACAGTTATGTTACCTACTCGGTCACTCTCTGCAGACCTGCAACAAACATCATGCCTGGATAAGCATGCATTTTGAGGCAAAGCTTGGCCATCCTGGGTCATCAGGGTCCTGGGAGTAGCAAGGTACCATCCTGACAGGCCTTCTGACACACTGAATGGTTCATCTTACCTCTCCTCAGCAGACACTACTGCCTCCCCCTAGACAGACTCTGAGAGGATGGAGGGGCAAAACTTCAGACCCTTTCAAAGGAATAAAGCAAACACCAACCTCAGTATCAGATGCAATCTGTGATGCCTGTCCTGGAGCAGATCTTTGACGATGAATGTTCCAGAGCCCAGTAAATACATCTGAGGGAGAAGGGGAGAAGCAGCATAAGGATACTGGGTGCCCCTCTGATCCACGCACCACAACCCAGGGAAATTAGGTGGTTCCTGTAACACCCCCCTCCCACCCTCACCTCATGAACCTATGGCAATGCTCAGAAGTGAATTCCCAGACACAAGTATGCTTTGACATAGGTCAATTCATAAGCCACGAATGAACTCAATCTTGTGCTCACACCTTTCTCAGACTGTTACATAACTGTAAGTGAAGGGAGACTGTTGCGCAAACTGCACATGACTTAACTGTTCCCTGAGATCTGTCTTTGACATCATACACAGACAGCTTGATTTGTGTCATCTGATTGATAAGGGAGTCTTGAAAGAAGGCTATGCTGCTCAGAAAGATGGGATTGTTGGTTCCCTGGAACAGAAAGCAGAGTTGGATTTTATTTTAAGGAATTGGTTTTGAACTGTCCTAACATTTTCAGGATGAAGAAATTAACATTTTTACTGATCTGCTCAACATAGACACTAATGACAGCACAAGACAACAAGCACAGAACCCTGCTTTCCAAAAAAGGAAAATACAGCCTGGCGAGATCATCACCAACCTGCCATTACAAACCAGATGCTATGTAGAGGACTCGCTCCTAAAGGTCCCCACTCAGGAGAGGACTTTTCTGGCCCTGAAGTGAGTTTGGGTTTGTCATCCACATGCATTCTTGGCAGTACACTTTTAGGTGTGCTATATATTTAGACTGTTAGGGCTGCTCCCGTCAGATGTGTGCACAGGCAGACGAAAGAGGAAATGGACGGTTTCAGTAACTATTTCTAGAATCCTGGGTTTGGAGTAATTAAAACTGACCTTTTAAGAGCAGGTTCTTGTTTCTAGATCACAGGTGTCTGTTTTCTGGTGGCTCTGCCTCCATCATACCCTTCTCACTCTTTCAGTGATGCTAAGTACCTCAGCCAAACAGTTACTGGGTCTTCTCTGTACCTGAGTGAGGTCCCCATCCCCACCCTCAGCCGCTTAGGTCTAGCCTCTCAGTGCCTGCTGGGCAATCCCTGCTAGGGCTTCTGCCAAACCCTCCCCCAACCTTCCCTCTATGCACCCTGGAAAGCAGGCTAAAGATCTGGACTCAGCCTTGGTACCTCTTGCTGAGTAGATTTGACTGGGAGACCACAAGGTCTCCCTCGGGTGCCTCTTCCCCCACAACTATTTTTCCCACACCTTCCTTCTGCTACAGTCACCCTGCACCACTCCCCCAAACACCTGTCAGAGTCATGAGACATGCCTGCACAAGTCCTGCAGAGCTAACTACTGTGCTGCCATCACACACCCTGGCTCAGCACACAAAGCTTGTTTCTTCCACACTAAGCAAGATATAGTTATTTCTTACACTCCCATCATGCTCTGCTGTCACCCTGCCTTCACTTCAATATGTACAATCCTAGACTGGAAGCACAGACTGTAAGGCCTGCAGAGCCAGGAGACCGACCACCTGGCCTGGCTGTGGCAGAATTCCCTGAAGTCCTACCTAGGAAGCCTGCTGAAAAAGATGTTACTCCTGTGACTTCACCCTGCTACCCCAATGCTCCCCATGCTTTCCTGGGCATGGAAGTGTCCAGGCAAATTTCAACCCCTCCCCCCATGGGAAGCTCTTGAGGGCAAGGACTGTGCCCTTGTGGGTGTGGTACCAACAAGTAATGCAGTGCTTGGCGTGAGGCTAGTGCTCAACAAGTGCTTAGACCATCCATGGCCCAACTTGGAAACAAGCTTCTGGAAGACTTTCAGAGGTCCTGGCTTCTAAAATGGATAGCTTGAGATAAAATTATATATTACTATCTTCTATATAAAAGTATAGAAATATAAAAAAATAATATGTAGCTTAATTTGGTAATTATTCATATTACAAATAAAATCCTGTGGAATTCCTTACCAGAAACTCCTACACTTCATACCATAACTCATATATACATATATGAATTATGTATAAAACATATATAACTCAACTACCTAAAATATTTTATAAGATTTCCTAGGTAAAGCTATATAAATTATTTTTAAAAACACAAAAGAATGCAAAAGTAAAAGTTAATAAAAACATGGAGACAGAAGACACCCCTCCAAGCACTGATTAATGAGCATAAGTCTCTAATGATAGCAGCCAACTGGAAGTAACAAGAAGAGTTAGGTCTCATCTCTTAAAAGTCACCAATCTTAGGATCATTTCTTAAAAATAGCAACTCATGAAGGAGGTGGCAAACTAAGGGCCACCCAGGTGAGTGTGACTGAAAGTGCAAATGAATGAAAAATCATGGGAAATAACTCAGAAAAATGAAACTGAACTACAGATGCCCCAAGAACTGAAGAGTCCTTCTGCTCGGGCCCAGACGGCCATGAGCACGAGGGCTCTCTCAAAGGACAGGAACCAGCAGCACCCACCTCAATGATCTCCGTCTGTGCGTGCTTCGTCCAGAATGCCTGTGGAGGGGTGGTGACACTCACAGCCACAAAACTATTTGGTTTTCGATCTAGCGATGGAGTGTGGAGCTCACTGCAAGCTACAGAATCAAGATGGGGGGAAAAGAATCCTTTGGACCAAGTTTTAGTTAGTTCATTGCTCTAAACAAACCCAAAGAAAACTTAAAATAAAACTCCCAGGGGCACCTTGGTCACACTGCCAGCAAGAGAGGGGATTTTAAAAGCCTGTTTTCTCATTATTTTTTCTCTTCTCCATCTTCACAATATAGTAAGTAAGGCATGAGTGCTGAGGGTGGCCTTTCAGGTTCACAGAGAGTGAATTCAGAGCCAACAAATGAGCTCCCAGGCAATATGTTCCTGCATACTATGACTGCTGTGGCTAAGTATGATAACCCATGAATCCCAGGAACACATACGGATGCTATAATAAAATTAAAATTCTATGACAAAATAAAGCTCTTCTTAAAAGGACAGTCAATGCTTACTTATAACCCATGTCAAAATGTAAGATTTCTTAAATGCTTAAGAACAAAACAGAACTTGGACCATTTCAGTTAGATAAGTCTGTCATACTATGACCTCAAAATACATCCTAAGTCTGAAGCAAGTCTATCACAAAAATGACCTAGGGAAGAATTATCACACAGCACTGACTCCCATATGCTCCCCGATATAAAAATACACCTATGAAAGGGGGAGAAAAAGCCCAGTCATTGAACTTTAATATGCCATTGACAATAATACAACATTTCCTTGCTTGAAAGATATTAAGGGGCTAAAGAGATGGCTTGGCTGCTCTTCCAGAGGACCCAGGTTCCATTCTCAGTATCCACATGGTAGCTAACAACTGACTGGAAATCCAGTTCCAGGAATTCTATGACCTCTCTTATGGGGACCAAGTAGTGCATCTCTCTCCTCTCTCTCTCTCTCTCTCTCTCTCTCTCTCTCTCTCTCTCTCTCTCTCTCTCTCTCTCTCTCTGATCCAAATGTTCAAATGACTGAGACAATGGAGGAGGTACTTCCAGAGACAGTGATCCTAAAGAATTAACACACACACACACACACACAGAGAGAGAGAGAGAGAGAGAGAGAGAGAGAGAGAGAGAGAGAGAGAGAGAGAAGAATGAGAAGAAGTGGAAATTAAAACCTGAATTAGGAAAATAGAAAATAAGGGAGGAGGAGAAGCTCATTTGTAGATTAGAGAAGACTAATGCCTTGCTGTGCTCTGAATAACTGCAGCCGAGGCAGTTAATTCTTTTGGATCACTGTCCCAGTCATTTGAACATTTGGATCCTAGTTGGTGACACTTTCTGGGGAGGTTTAGGAAATGTGGCCTTACTGCAGGAAGTACATCAGTACTGATGGAATTTGAGAGTTTAAGGCCCCTTCCTACTGGTAGTTGCTCTCTCTATTTTGTGCCTGAGGTTCACAGTGTGAGCCCTCAGGTTCTGCTCCATCATGAACTCTCCCTCTGGAAACGAAATAAACTCTTTTCTGTAAGTTTCCTTGGTTATAGTGTTTATCACAGCAACAGAAAAATAACTAAAATATTGCACAAAGTCAAATCACTGTTTTTGGCTTTAATTATACAGTATCTGCTACTATGCTTACTGTATGAGCTATCTTTTCCTACCACACACATTCATGTGCCATTTTATAGTCACTATTCACTTAACTACAGAAATGTCCTCCTGGCTTTGGATTCTCAGTCCTTTCCACTGTGAATTGCTATCTAGAATCACCTGCCTGCCTGGTCCTGAGTAGCATCCCACAGCATTGTTGAGACTGCAAGACTAGGAGCTGACACATCCTTTTGGTTTGTAAGGTTTGAAAATATCTTAACTGTACCTGAATGATTGAAGGGTATTTTCTCTAGGTCCTTATTTTCCCTAAGACCTTTAAATACATTGTCTCAAAGTTTCAAAGTTTCTATTTTTTCCTGCTATAAAACCACAGGTCAGTCTAATTATTGCTATGAAGAGTACTGTGTGTGTGTGTGTGTGTGTGTGTGTGTGTGTGTGTGTGTGTGTGCGTGTGTGCTCGCGTGCGCATGTGTATCTGTCTATGTGTCTGTCTGTGGGTGTCTTGGCAGCTCTTTTTTTTTTTTTTCCGTTTTTCGAGACAGGGGTTTCTCTGTAGCTTTGGAGGCTGTCCTGGAACTAGCTGTTGTAGACCAGGGTGGTCTCAAACTCACAGAGATCCAACTGCCTATGACTTCTGAGTGCTGGGATTAAAGGTGTGCGCCACCACTGCCCGGCATCTTGGCAGCTCTTACAATTTCCCTGAGTTTGGTTTCCAAAAGTTCTACTATGGGGCACCTAGAAATCTTCTTTCTTACTTTATTAACTTGGGAGAAAATGCTCAACTATAAATTTTAAACCCGTGTTTTTTGTTTTGTTTTTTTGAATATGAATACATTAAATACTCTCGTGGTTTTTGTGGGAATGATTAGCTTGCTTTTGAGACAGCATCTTACTATGTAGCCCTGGATGGCCAGAACTGACTAAGGAGACTAAGAAGGCCTCAAACTCACGGAGATTGGCCTGCCTCAGCTTCCCAAATGCTAGGATTAAAGGTGTGTTCACCATGCCCAGTCCATCTTGTGATGGACATTCTCAGGGGAAAAAAAAAATGCTTTTCCTACTGAGTAAACTCTAGCTTAAGCCAAATAAAGCCAAGCCCTACAAGAGGGTTTTTGTTTTTTTTTTCTTTTCCTTCAGAAAATGGTCAAATAATGACAGTTATCTTAAGAATGAGACTCTGTAATGTCTCTGGTTTTGCTGAATATATAATCCTAGATAGGCTGCCTTTTTTCATCTAGAAGCATGTAAGATTTTTCTCTTTTCCAGGGATTCTGACACACTGCCCTTCTACTAGGAAAAGCCTGTTCTGCTACTTTGGGCCTGTTGTTCCACTTTCTGTCTCAATTCTGATCTCTGCTCTCTTAGCCACCAAAGGCTACAATGCCAGACTATGTCTTACTCAGAAATCTATAATCTATGCCTCTTGATACTTTCTGAGTTGGGGTTGTTCCTTTGTTATTTATGAACTCAGTCCTCATCAGAGTACCTTTGGCTTTTCGGTGTTTTTATGAAGATAATTCACCTCCCCAGAGTCCTCACAGAGTTGTATAACCGTTATAACCATCTACTTCCTTACTACAGCCACATTTCAAAAGAAAATAATCTATACCCAGCAGCAACCACTCATCACCCCTCTACTCTAGTCTCCAGAAACCACTAATCTCTTTCTGTGTAAATCTGTCTCCACTGGACATTTGTATATAATAGAAGAATGCAGTGTATGTCCTTTTGTGGCTGTCGTCTTCCACTTGGCAGCTTTTCCAGCCCCACTAATGCCAAAGCACGAATCAGTACCTTGCTCCTTTCTATTAATAAGTAACTCCTGAATGAACACACCACATACTATTCAATTGGTGGATATTTTGATTGCTTCCACCTCTTGGTTACTACAAATAATGTTGTAAACACTTACGAATTAGTTTTTTTGGAACATATGTCTTCATCTTTTTTTAATGTCTTTGCTGAATATATAACTCCGGTTTGGCTGCCTTTTTGAGATTTGCAATGTTATCCTACTGACTCTGAACTTCAGCCTTCTTTCTTCTTCCTCTTCCTCCCACACCCTCCTCCTCTCACACCCTCTTCTTCCCACCATACCCTCTTCCTCCAGTATTCTGAAGCAGGGACTGTGTAGCTCACAGTTGGTTGCTGCTTTTTAAATTCTGTCCTTGGTTTTTAACAGTTTAGTTAGGATGAATCCAGGTGTAGATCTCCAGGGTTTATCTCAGTTCTGCTTATAAGGGACATGTAGCAAGTTTTATTGTGAGGAAATTTCAGAACACGGGAAATAAAATGAAGATCTTAAAATCTCCCAGCTGGAGCTGGAGAGATGGCTCAGCAGTTAAGAGAGCTTGCTGTTCTAATGATGTTCTAACATGACTGCTGGAATTCAGATCCAAGCACCCATATCTGATTGCTCTCAAATGCAAGGAACTCCAGCTCCAAGGGATTTGGGCATACATGCACTCATATTCTCTCTCTCTCTCTCTCTCTCTCTCTCTCTCTCTCTCTCGCTCTCTCTCTCTCTCTGTCTCGCTCTCTCTCTGTCTCTGTCTCTCTCTCTCCGTCTCTCTCTCTGTCTCTCTCTCTCTGTCTCTCTCTCTCTCTCTCTCTCCTCTCTCTCTCTCTCTCTCACACACACACACACACACACACACCACTACTACTACTACCACCAATTTAAAAAACAAAACTTCCAGAAGAATGAGAAAGCACTTTTAATTATATTTTCAACCTAGAATTTTCTGACCATGTAAACTCAGTTTAGCATAACAGCTGATGGCAGCCTGTTTCAGCTCTGCAGAGTCTCAGACAGTTTTCCAAACAGCTTCTCTTCCTCCATATCCATTTTCTGGATGAAGAGTGTGCTCAACCCAAAATGGGGTAACTTGAAGTGGGGGGAAATGACATTGTCCCAAGAAATGATTTACACTGGGTGGAAGGTAAAGAACTCCCAGGTGGAGTCCTTTAAATAGTGTTTGCTTAGGTATGAGTATGCAGAATATGACCTTAGCCAAAAAACTGCAACTAGAGTGATTGAATATAGGAAAAGGATGAAGAGGTATCTAAGACATTTCTAAAGCCAACAAATCAGAAGCTGTAATGAGGCTTGCCCATGGAGGGCAGCCTGAGAAGGGGAGGGATTTCAGGAAGTAGATCTCACCCCACCAACACCCTTACTGCTTCTCAGGTGAGCAGAGCCAAGAGGACTAAATAGGCAAATACTCTGAACTGTAAAACAAAACAAAACAAAACAAAAAAATCAATCAAAGAAGCTGAAAATTAAAAAAAAATAGATTGTTGTAAAATCTTTCATTCAGAGAAAACTCTGCTAGAGAGAAATATCCGTTGGATTTTGGTATATGTCCTTCCAGTTTTTTGTTTGTTTACTCAGCAGAGTGCGACCTACAGCGATTTAATGAATTGGTGGTAGAAACGGGTTTTCTTAGAAATATGTAAACCCAATATTCCTGATAGGTTTTTTGATATTCAGAGTTGCTGGCATCCTTTAATTTTGGTAGATATGGGCCCTGCCTCATTATTTCAGATGCTACAGAGTATACTGTAGGGTCATGATGATTATTTTAACTAGTCTTCGGTTGGCCAGTCTTTGGCCACCTGAAATCATGGTGAAAGACTAGAAGTCACCAGAATGGACAGGATATGACTGGAGACCTTACATAGCCCCATTCTTAAGATTACTATCATTATTTGACAATTTCTGGAAAAAAAAAAAAACTTACAGGGTTTGGCTTTATTTGGTCTAAGCCAGAGTTTACATAGTAGAAACAGTGGGGTTTTTTTGTTTTTGTTTTTGTTTTTTTGTTTTTTTTTTTTCTGATAATGTCCATCAGAAGCAATCAGGATGAAGCCAGAGCTGGGCTGGGCTTGTAGCTCAGTGGTGGAACCACCTGCTAACACATATGAAACCCCGAATCCATCCTGACCATGACTAAGGCAGCAGCAACCAAAATCAACAGATGAAGAGGGCAATACTAACAAATGAGGCAAACAAGAAGTTGATCAGAAAAGTTTAAATAGGTAATGAAAACTTAAAAAGAAAACCTAGGCGGTGAATGACAGGACCAGGACCTTTGCAAAGCTCTGACATCGTGGAAGCCAGCACATGTGGAGGGTTATGCATATGTCCAAGAACATCTGCATGCTCAGAAAAGAATTGAGGAGACTATGAATGATCATTTAGACTACCTACTCTTGGTGTTCAGCATAAGCAGGAAGTGAGCCCTGAAGATATGGGCCAGTATGCACACAGACACTTAGCAAAACTTACACCAGTCTCTAGTTCTCTGAGCTTTTAAGAATTTTCTATCCAGCCAGGAGTGAATCTCTGTGAGTTCCAGGTCATCTGGAACTACACAGTGACACTCTGTCTCCATTCTATATATTACATCCATCCAAATTTAACTTGACCACCAAATGACCTAGCAGTCACTCCAGGATCCACACATGACAAGAGGTTATTACTGAGCAGTAACAAGAGTGGTAACAACAAAAAACCCTGGGGAAGGGGAGAGGAGGATTTCATCTCCAAAGTTTCTACATCACATTGTTCATATATCTAATTTTTAACCAAAATTTATGAAATATGAAAAATAAAACCCACAAGAGAAATACTGCTCATATCTGGGTGAATTTAAGAACTAAAAACAGTCAATAGTACCTGTCTCTGAGGGGACACAGATTTTTTTTTTTTTTACTTACTAAGAAACTACATAATAGAGACTACCAGTGAAAGAACTGAAATCATAAAATTAGCCATGTAGAGAATATTAAAAGTACAATAACAGAAATGAAAAAGCATTAAAAGCAGCTCAACTGTGGGCTGTTGGGGAATATTATTTTAAGGTATGTTACTTTATTTATGTTGCATTTATTTAACTCTATGTAGCTGTTACTGTGCCTGTCTAAAACATCTGAGGGTCTAATAAAGAGCTGAATGGCCAATAGCAAGGCAGGAGAGAGGAACAGGCTGGGCTGGAGGAAGAGGAGGAATCATGGAGAAAAAGACCTGAGGGTGGGGGAAGGAGGAGGACTTCAGGGGCCAGCAACCCAGCCACCCAGAAGGAGAGAAAAGGTATACAGGAACAGAGAAAGATAAAAGCCCCAAGGCCAAAATAGATAGGATAATTTATGTTAAGAAAAGCTGGTAAAACTCAGACTGGACATTCATTACTAAAAATAAGCCTCCGTTGTGATTTATTTGAGAGCTGGGGGTTGGGCCCCCCAAAAAAGCTAAAAAAAGACTTAACAGCCAAAAGACTAAAACATCGCACTACAATGGGCAGACAAAGAGTCAGCGTACTTTGGAGATGTCAACTATGATTATTTAGTCTGAAGAACAGAAAGAAATAAAAAGAAGAAAAACAGTTTCAGAGAGTCCTGGAAGATCATCAAATTCACCAGCATAGGTTTAATCAGAGCTCCAGGAGGAGAGGGAAAGGGCATGGGGGAGAAAGGGTATCTGACAAAGTGATGGCCAGGGACGTTCTAGCCCTGATGGGAAACAAGATGCCTTGAGAAGTAGTTTTTAAACTAGACTCACATTCTTCAGTTCTTGTGCATTTCTTGTATTATTTCTAAACTTCCTCTTTGCGTTCATTTTTCCATTTTCTCTTTTAAATGATGGGCATCCTGGACTGTCCAGCTTACTCTTGTTACCTATGCTGCTGGCTTTCTTGGATATCTTCCAGGCTTTGCTGGATTTGTAAATTTCATCTGTTATGCTTTAAACTTCAAGACTGTCCTTTGTTCTTCAGCTGCCTTTTACAGACAGTACCCTGTTACTGAACACAGAGAGGTACTTCCTCCTTTCTTAAAGGTGTAAATTACAATTTCTTTACTGTTTTCTTCCACTTCTGTAATACCTGTTTTATCCAAGTTGTGGTTTTGGTTCATGTTGTAGGCCTACCACATGGTGCTGGAGGTCATTGTCTTTTCTTTTGTTTTCTTCTAGATCACTTTTGAGGCATAAATTTCTTATGCCACACACCTACTTTAAGAGCTCAAGGAGTTTTATCAGTTCCTATATATATCCATGTAGCCACTCCCACTGTTGAGAACATTTCTACCCCACTATCCCTATAGTAAAGGGAACCTGAGCCCAAACACTTGCAGCTTCTTCCATCCTTGGACCTTGCCCTCATCTTCACTCTGCCAGGTCTATGCCTCAACTCAAGCAAAACTTCCCCTCTAGAAAGTAACCATCCACACCCTCCAAAGGGACAAGTGACTCTGGTACCACTGTGAAACAGTGTGCCAGTCATGCAATCACTGCACTGGAGCTCACTTAGCCTGCTCTGTACACAAACTCAGTACCACATAGCCTTCCAAATACTTCATTCTTAAAGCATGAACATTTACCCCCACAAAAAGATTGGCACCCAAGTATTGACTGCAACTTTATTCGTAATAATCTCCACTGGACACAGCTCAAATCTCCATCAGCAGGCAGCTTAACCACAGCAGGATAGTCAGCTGTGAAAAGCAGCCTCTGAGATGCTGCATCTCCCCAGAAACATCTCAGGAGTGGTGATGGCACTCAGAACTACTCAGTGGTTCTTAGAGACAGACTAACAGTAACAACCACCAAGAGAGAAGTACCTACCTAAGCTGAATTCTAAAATGGGCTCATCTGGGTCTTGAATATTTCCTGGTAGAAGAAAAACAACAGAAAAGTCACCCAAAATAAATAAATGCAAATTTAGCTTGCATTTGTTTTGTGCAAAAAAAAAATAGAAACAAGAAATAGTAATTCCTCTAGCCCACCCCAAGATGTTACAGTAGATGATTTCTATACTTTCAAACATTTTACTTTAGAGAGTCTGAAGAAATCTCAGGCCCCTTTCCATTTTGCCAACTGGAAGGCAAGCCCAGGGTGCTCACCCAGGCTAGAAAAGAAATGATGATCAGTCTTACAAGACCAGTTCCTGGGGCTATAGTTGTCCCTTCTGAGTTCTATTCCAACTAAAAGGATCCCACACCAGGACACCCTGTCCCAATAGCTTAGTCGCCAGGTGTCCCTGGCCCTTCAACACTGTTACAGCATAGAGCCTGAGTCCTGCAAATTTATAACCAGATGTCTGGTATAGGCTTGTGAGGCTCACCTGCCAGAGAGAGGCCCACCATGTCCGCTGCCACGTCGATGGTGGAAGCCCGCTGCATTGCACGGGCCCTGGCACCATGGCGAGGGCTGTGCTCTCTTGCTGTCATGATGTCATTGGTGAGGATATGCTTCTTGTTCCTGGGTCACACCCCACCTGGCTTCCCACAGAAGAGTTCGCTATCTCCAGGCCCTGGATTCCTAAGGTGGCAGTAGCCCTGAGACATGGGAGAAAACACAGATAAGAGTCAGGAGTGTGATGATGGAGAAACTGTGTTCCTATGGCAAGAGAACAGGACCTAACCCTGGCAAGATGCTAAAATCAGTGTCTTGTGACAGATGTGAAACTGAGCTGTCTCTCACTTTCTACTCTCTTCTTCCTCCCCACTCCTCTACAGTGTTCCCATGGCATCCTCTTTGATCAAAATGGGCCACATTACATGATAGCCTAACCCTAATCATAAAATAAGACTTTTACAGTTTTCTTGTTACTCTCTAGAACTCTCCTATTGGCAAGTCTCACAGAAGATCTTTACAATCTTCTATCAGCTCTCACAGCACAGCCTCTGCTAGGACAAAGACTATGTGAGGATCTCTGCTGCCCAGAGGCACTGCCTGCCTTCCATGCAGAACAATGGGAAGACAAAGCTTGCAGCTCTAGTCTGACTTTCCTTTCCTTCAGCTACCCAAGTTCTGGTGTGTATTGGTCTCAAAACTTTCCCACAGTATCAAGTGACAACCTACCTTTAACCAAAGGGGAGAGTGCTGGGGGCAGAAGAGGCTGTGACAGGATGCCATGGCAGCTGAGTCAGAATGAGACTGCCCTGGTTCATCACAGAGCTCCCACCATGCTCTCAGAAGTAGGTTACACAGCAAGAAGGGAATTTTAGGTTTGTCCAACCGCATGTACTCCAACCCCTGCTGGTTCTAGAAGGAACCAGCCTTCACAAGTCAGGATAATTAAAAGAGCCATTAGCCTTGTGAAGAGCAGCCTCTCAAAGGTGTCCATATGCCCCAAAACACAATCTTCTGCCTATTCTGTCAGCATCTATACACCCAAAGACCCAGGCTACTGCTCCAGTCAATTCAACAAGTGACTTACCAGACATGGTTGCTTCTGGACCATGTGGTATTGCTTCATAGGAGGATATCCAAATCCATTATCTAGAAATAGAAAAGTATAATTTGATGAGAAACACCAAAGATTAAGTCCCTGAGGGCACGAAACCCAGAAAGGTAGGAAGGCAAAAGACACTCTGATCTAACTTTTCACTCAAAAGAATGAGAAGGAACAATGCACATTTCCTTTCACTCCAAGGGTTATCCATCAGGGGAGTGTGGACCTGCCCTGAAAATCCAGGAGGGAATGAAGAGAGTTGGGTCCTAGCTTGTCCACTCACAAAGCTCAGACACCAGGAGGAGCTGCAGTGCAGCTCTGAGGCTCTACTCTCTGGTGTCTCACAGAATTACAGTGAGAATAAAATGCACATCAGTAGGAGAGGACTCAGTACACTCCACTGGGCTCTCACACTGCCCCCACTGCATGGTGAACGGGCACCTTCCTGCAGAATGGAACACTCAGGCCAGGGCTTACCAAGAGCTGTTTAGCAGGCCTCAGGGCCCAGCTCACAGTCTCATAAGAGTGAGATTCAGAGGACAGTAGGGCAGCGCATTAGGACCTTTGACTGACTCATGTTCTTTTGCAGGCTGGGCTCTGAACTTTCCCACTGGAGTACCCAAAGATCTCTGGCCTATGAGCCTCAGCCAACAGGACTATGAACTGGCTGGAGAGCCACTCTAGAAATTGCTAAAACAGAGAAGTTACTCACTGGTCTGCAGTCATCAAAAGACACACAAATCAAAACATTTGCAAGGCAAATACTGAAACATAGAAAGCACCAAGACTTCCTCAATGACTGGTCCTAACTTGTCACAACCTAGAATCACCTGGGGAGAGTCTCAGTTGAGAAATTATCTAGATCAGGTTGGCCTGTGAACAACTTTGTGGGAGATTGTCCTAATGGCTAACTGACCCAGTCTACAGTGGGCAATGGCATCTCTCCCACTTCCCACTGGCCAGGCCCTGAGCTATACAATACTGAAGAAAGCTAGCTGAGAAAGCAATCATGGGTGTATCTGCTTCTTTCTGTTCTTGCCTGTTGATGTGATTTAGTCAGCAGAGTGCCTGAGCTCCTGCTTTGACTATCCGTACCCCACCCTATAATGTGATGACCTTTGAACTGTAAACCAAATAAACCCTTTCTTCTCTAAGTCGCTTCTTGTCAATGTGTGTGTGTGTGTCATAGCAACAAAAGTGAAACAAGGAAAACTACTAACCTTCTACAATAATGCTGGTAGGAATGAACAAAACTCATTAGTGATATAGGCATTAAGGGGAGGAATTCACGAAAGAGAGTTATGTATGGTAAATATTCTTTGAAAAATTGTCAAATGCCAGCAAAGTAACATTTAATCCATCTATTCCACCTAAATTACTTTTCCAAGGGATGCCCATCTATTCTTCCAAAATATATACTGCTGACAAGCCTGAGGCCCTTCTATACTGTGGATAACATTTTACAGTAGTACTATAATTTCAGAATTTACTAAATTTTGTAGACAAAAAATTCTTGTCGGCATCTCAAACATGGAAGAGACTAATTCACAAAGCTGCTTACTATAAATAATGAAGACAAGACGTAATCTAAGTGCCCAGCTACAGTATGTTCTGGAACATCATGAGATACTAAAATTATTCTAGTAAATCCAGAAGTCACACATAATATAAACTGAAGACATGAGACCTAGAACAATCACTTAAATAGCTACAGTGATAGACAGGAAAAGCCAAGAGCTGGAAAGGATGTAGAATAATTGGAACCAGTGCTGTGATGAAGCAGGCATGGTGTAACTACTCTAGACAACTGGCAATCCCTACCCAAGCTGCACATGTGACTAACTGGTGGTCCATCCACAACTTGGGAATACAATTTAGGATGCAACTACTAACAGAAATGCATATATGGAGTTTATGTACACACACACACACACACACACACACACACACACACACACAGAGAGAGAGAGAGAGAGAGAGAGAGAGAATGTTTAGAGCAGTGACAGTCATTAACAGTTTATCATCTGCAAAATGTACAGAGCAAAACAGATGGATCACAGGGAAAGCCAAGCATACAGAGCCCAACATGGGCAGTCCACTGGTGTGAAGTGCAGGCAGAGGCCAAAGAGTCTATGTTGTGAAGTCAAAAGGAGGATATTGTGCAGGGATAGGTGTTGCCTACAAAGATATGAGTGACTCCTGGGCTCTAAGAATGTTCTTGGCTAGGGTGTAGGTTCTGAGTGGATCTATGAGTGACAACCCATTGAACAATATGTGAATAGGTTTTATGCCCCAATAAGAAGTATACTTAATTCTTTTAATGATGGGACAGTAGAGCAAATGCTCCTATTAATTTTGCACCACCTGCTCTCTAGTTACAACAGCTTAAAGAGACAAGACACAGAGCCTGTGAAGGCTGTAGCAAGATGGCCACCAGGAAGGAGTGGTTATGGGAAACTGTTTTCTGTGCTCCATACTGCTGTCTTCACATGTTTAAAAGGTATTAAATACTGGCTGTGACTTCATAACATGGGGTGAGCTGTTGTCTCTTGATTGTTGCTTCAGTGTAACCACAGTATTACATGCCTGCCTCTCTGCCTTTCTCTCTGCATTAACAGTGAAGGTTCTGATGAGCCCTTCCCTTGGGACAGCAGAGCTGTGCCACCTAACAAACATCCCTACCTAAGCCCTGACATCTTACTCCAGGGAGGCTGACAACCCACTCTCTCTTACCTGTGTCCTCCTGCTCACTCCACCTGTCCACCTGTCCACCTATCTTTTAGGAGGGTGGTTTGTGTCACACTCTCTGAAGATCAAAATTCTCAGAAAGGAGTATTTACATACTAATTTTAAACTAGTTCATAGGTCAGAGGAACTTTTAGATCAAAAGATTTTTAGCAGCTACTTCTCATTCTATTCGGAAGCATTTAATTATAATCTACCATTTAAATCATCAAGGTCCAGAACGCAAAGGCAATTTGTACAGCTGAACTTCATTTCCCTTCTTGGTCTCATTAATTTAAGATAATTCACCAAGGATTCCTAATTTCCCAGTGTCCCCAATTTTGCTCCTGGTTCTATTTGAGGGCTGGAGTTCATTAGGAAAAGGAAAAACTAATTTAAGTCAATGAGGACTAAGAATGTGGGGAGGGGCTTAAGGAAGAAAGAAGCAACAGCTTCTGACAGAAGGAAGGTTATCAAAGAGCAGTTCTGCACCACCAATGTCCTGGCCTCCAGGAGGAGCAGGGGCGCTGACAGCAGAAGGTGGAAAGGGGAAGCACAGGGACTCTACAGGGAATGAATGGAATGTGAGAGGTGGCCAGGCATTCCAGAAGCTGCTATAAATAAATAAATAAATAAATAAATAAATAAATAAATAAATAAATCACTCTCAGGTAAGGTCTGTCTTCCCTTCTCCTTGCAGGAACTAAGGAGCCTCAAGCTGAGAAGCAGCTCAGGGGGCCCTTGTATCTTAGTGACCTCTTAGAGGCTGTGGCTGGAGCTGGAGCTGAAGGAAGGTGAGGCACTAGAACTGTTCTAGTCCATCTTAAGACGAGCATTTGTCTAAACATCGGCTCATAAGAAGGGGGACAGAGAGTACTATAGACAGGGTGAGTCTTCTTAAAAATCTCATGCATGTGAAAGGTATCTGAAGAAAAAAAACAAAAACAAATAAAAAAGCCCAAATATAAGTGGGGCTCTTCTGCCCAGTCCAGCCCTATTGCTGACCCTGCTCTGCAAATGGGCCCCGAGCCTTCCCCATGCCACTCTCTCTACATACAAGCAATGGGAGAGAAAATATGAAAGACACAAGTCAGAGTGAGTCAGCAGTCCCTGAGGGAGAGCCTGCTTTAGAAGACAGAAAAAGAGGAATTTTCTCTTAAAACCCCAAATCCAAGATAACTAAAATCACAAATCACTATGGCATCACCATTCACTGGACCAAAAATTACTATTAAGTTATACACAAAGGAGACACGTATCTTGAAGCCTTGATGGTGACTCTTGAATGAAATCATTTCTTCCTGTCAATTCTCAACTTCCAATACTACCTTTCAAGGAACAGCAGTCTGGATAATAGTCCAGCTCCAGAGAGACAGTTGCAGGGTGTCAGGAAAACTTTTCCTTGGGATGGAGCAAACAACATCTACCCCCTTTCTTATAAGGTCCCAACCAAAATGTAAACCTGCCAAAGTTCACCCTTTGGGACCAGTGAGTTTATTGGGCTTACGTACACGGCATGGGCAAGAGGCTACTGGTGGAAGTACAGGTGACCCCAAAGCAGCTGCACTAGAAAATCTCAATCCAGCAAAGATGATGGCTTCACCATAGCAACAGAGACAGATGGAGCCACTCTTAGCCTCCTCTAGCCTATATACTCTAGAACCTCTAGGAAGCCCCACCCCACCCTCCCTACTCCTCTATGCAATTAGGACAGCCATGCATTCAAATGTTTACAAGGAGTGGCTGGAATCTCAGTTGAGGGTCCAATGACCCTCACTAATTCCTCCTCCTCCTATGCAGTGATGGTAACAGCCAACTGTACTGTAATGATGGACACTCACAAGAGCTACTGCTCTCATGAAAATGGCACTGTTTTGTTTAGAGAACCAATCTCTACAAGGTATAAAGCTCTGATTTAGTGCAGCCATGCTAAAAAACAGTTCAGTATGGATAGTGCTGAAAAAAGCAGAAAAATAAAGTACTTTAGAAAATCAAGCACAGCCAAGAACCAAGTACTAGCCATGTGCAGCACTTCTCATCCACAGGCACAAACAACTTCACCCAAAGACACCCACACACTCTTGCTGTTCTCATGGAGTCATTCAATTATTTACCTCCTGCTTCCCATCTCCTGTTTTCTGCTAATGACAATAAATAAATAATGATGGTAATGGCTTAACACCATTTAAATAACATGCCTCATAAGTATAATGAATATTGTAACTGATAAAATGTAATGTCTGGACCCAGAAACAAATGTAACTGACCCCTACTCTGGAGGTCAGTTACTTATGGATCCCCTAAAATTCATGTATGGAAACTC